TATTCATTTTTTGTACGGTGTTTGATGATGGAGATGTAAAGTTTAACAAAAAAATAATTAAATATCAGTATCTTTTAAATAAATATTAAGTTCATGAACCAGGCGCGATTGAAAAACGTGGCAAGCTTACTTCTTCAGTTTTACGTTTATTAGCAAGTGCCTGTTTCGTGGAGTTCGATTAAACAGACGAAAAATTTTAACTCTAACGTTATAGCTTAAATGAAATTATATTCTTTTATTAAACAAACCTACATTAAACATCAAAATTTGTTTTATAATTAAATTTTTAATACAGGTTATAATATGCCATTGTAAGTATCGGACGTGAATATTTTGTATGATAACTCTGTGTACATACTTTTTTTATAATACACTATTATTATAAAATAAGAAAAGAAGAAAAAAAAAGTTATTAAATAGCTTAATTATCAGCGGATTCTGCGATGTCCTCCGGTTGTCCCTCCGGTTGATCGTCATTCCAAAAATCTCGGCGATTTCTTACATTGTCTCCCTGCATACGTGGTCCACGTGTCCTCTGTCTGAATCTCTCTTTCGTTATTCGAAGAGCTTCTCGCATTTTGACTTGGAATTCCGCTCGAGTGGGTTTTTCGAAATGGGAATTGCTGCTCACACCTTCTACACGAGAAAAAGAAAAGAGTATTTTTAATAGGAAGTGATATAACAACAAATACGAAAAAACAAAAAATGAAGAAAAATATACCATAAATTGCCATAACGAGTGTCATATAAGGGTCTTGGTCCTCCTTTGCGTCCCCACCAAGTGAAAGATGGTGTTATTGAATCCTTGAGACCTTCTTTCAAGCACAAATTAACGGCTTCCTTCAGATTAAAGCCACCAATGAAGTGAAAATAGCTCACCTACGCAAAAGTAAGTAGAATAGTTGTAGTAGATGTAAATATTAGATGTAAATATTAGATGTAAAATAACAACATATTTTAAAAGATAACTTTTCTCTTTTTACTTACAACGTCGAAATAATTGTTTTGGTCGATATTTTCGAAAGCTTCCATCTCTTCTACAAATGATATTGGTATGCATGCTGGTTTCTGTGGTTGCGCATTATAATATGGCGATTCTGCACGCGATTCAGGATGTTTACCATCAGTAAGGTATTCATTCGTCTATAAAAAAAATATATATAAAATAACATACGGAGATATT